TAAATAGATAGATAGATATATAGATAGATAAATAGATAGATAGATATATAGATAGATAGAGGGATAGATAGATATATAGATAGATATAGATACATACATGTACTTGTTTGTGCTAAACGTGGCATTCTTGAGACATTTTGATGTGGCAATCAGGAAAGGGTAATCTGCATACGAACAGTTATGACAGCTTCTCTTTGGAGGAATGCAGTTTTAATTACGGGGGGGGGTGATGTGCTTATCATAAGATTGTGTTCACTTTGAGGCTTTCCAAGGACAGAGGTTGCATGATGAACATATATACTGATGGCAGCTTAATTCCTCAGCATTACAATATTCCTTATATATTTGACCTAAGTTTTCCCTATATTTCCTCGATGTTTTATTCAGAGATTGGCTGAGAGGTATGAAGTTGCATGTGAAATAAGTGGTCTTCTGAAAATCGCTTGTAAATATTTAGCTGTAATTTTGGCAGTATACCCAGCATGAAAAAACAATTGCTTGGATATTCTTGTAGACACAATGTTATATGATTTTTTTAATATGCACTGTATGCTAGTTATTATGAGGAATATAGCCAAATGTAACATGTCGACACCCAACACACCATTTAATAGCAGTGATACCCCATGTTAGAAAAAATAATGTGTTCTCGAGTAACTGTTGAAATTCTGTAACCTGAATCATTAAAAAAAAAGTTATAAGAAGAAGTAAGTGTGGGCAATAAACATACATATTGATTACTTAATAATTAATTTAATTATTTGACACTGGACATAGGCTTCAGAATAAAAATGTGTACTCTATACCTAGAGTACGCTTGACTTGGTTGCCTCGGAAGCAAGAAAAATAAGTAGATTATGCTAACTCATGCATGAAACTAATGTGATGCAGCATGCTTGATCTGTAGCCAGCGTCATTGTCACTTAGCATTACACAATCGTCGTGCATTATTTCTAGGATAGATATAAATTTATGCTTTACATTTTGCTCATTCTTGCCACGTTGCTAGAATAAATATTGATGAACCATTTGAATAGAGATTCAGAGCTTAACATGTAAGAGCTGCTTTTTACTTATTGCTTCTCCTTTCGCATCATCGGATGTTTTCCAATAATCAGTAGACAATATCTATTCGACTTCTTCCAAGACAGTGCTGTGCCATCAAACGATATGAAGGAAATTACATGAGCATGCCATTTATTGATAAGATGTTATTGACTAATGTTTGATTATATTAGTTGAAATTGCATTAGTCGAAACGTGAGCATGAATTTATTTTGTGTTTGCACAAGTTGTTACTTTCATGTTGAAATGGATTGTTGATTTGCAGGTGGTTGTGCTTGTGTCGCGTACATCTGGTGGACGACAGAGACTGATTGTGTGTGCCTGCGTAGCTGCCCTGCACCTGCTCTTTTTACTCTATCTCCATTTTGCATACCATCAAATTGTTGAAGGTGAGTAGAGTTTCCTCTGCTATTGCAGTTGGAATTAATGATAAACACATACAAAGTAAAGAAAATGTAATACAAGCTGTTGTAAACATGTGGCCTGTAAATACTTGGGTTGTGTGACACTTTGTGCATAAGTGATTGAGAGAATTTCTAAATAATACATGTAACTGTTGCACTTAGCCAGTATCACGGCAGGGTGGAAGTGGAGGCATGAAAATCAATTGCTCGTGGTAAAAGTGGGCCTTGTGGTTAAAGAAAGCCATAATCAGAAGTGTGCCAGCTGTGCATGTGCATGAGATCAAAATAAACAGATAGGCTATATGTATACCTCTCCCCACCCCCACCACGTTCTTGGACTCCGGAGTAAAATGCTTGCTTTACATATGTGTGGGCAATGCGTATGGTTAATGCAAACGCAGCCGTTTAACGTGAACACGGACATGCCGGGCAATGCAGTAGAATCTCTAGCCTCTGGTCTGGATGATTGAATATTTATTGACATTACCTATCACGGGGTGCTACTGCCAGAGGGTTTTCGTGTCTTTACTCCATGGCCAGAGACGGATATCTCCTTTGCTAGGAAATATTGTAAACAAACACTTGTGCTGATATCTTGTCTACCGTTTGCCATGTCCCATATGCGCGGAATTCGGAGAACTGGTCGCAGCAAGCAACATCTTGAGTTTTAGCTTCTTTCCAAATTCACTGTTTTATGGCGTGTAAATCTCATTGCATCAGGAGCGTATAATGACAAATTTGTCATTATACGCTCCTGATTGCATCTATATAAGAATTAGGGGACACAGGCTAGGAATATGGTCAGTGCACCCCCCCTCCACTCCACTGCTGATGAGAGTGGTTAATAACAGAACTCCATTTTTCATGTGCAGAGTGCATGAGAGGGCACATTTTTATGGCCAGCTTCAACACTCAACTTCGCTGAAAAATCCCCTAATGACCCAATGTTGCTCTCCACACAAATGTTATGTTATGCCCCCCCCCCTTCAGCAACGTGGTTCCTCTTTAACCAGTGTTTATAAATGAGTCATCGAGATTCACCCACACCAGGTAAACTATCTGGGAACTGTGATGGATGCTTGCTTGATTTGTTGTTCTCAAGTTGATTTTTGACCCATTGGAATCTCTGAATGTTAAATAGAACATATGTGACCGGTTATAGCCAAATGAGGCACTTGGAGCAATTTTCCAATTTCGATACAATATGTTGATATTCTGCTGTCTTTTATCTTTATATTGGTATAAAAATTTTGAAAATCAGATAAAAAATAATAAAAAATTAGAGAAAATCGTGTCTAAAGTGTGGGCAACTTCACATTGTATATATATTGACATATTCGATACAAAATAGCAAAATTATATCTTTTAAAGATATTATATGTATATTTAACCCAGATATTCCGATAGAAAACATTGTAAGCTATCTATTTCAGTTAAAATCACAAAATAAATGTTTCATGCATATATAGTTAAAACCACACATGGTGTAAAATCAAGTGCCAGTGGGTTGTTTAGAACCAGTGGGTTCGTTGTCATGCCACCGTGACGTCACACTTCGGTACTCTATGTTCTTTATTATCCTAGGGAAAAATAAAATAATAAAAAATTAGAGAAAATCGTGTCTAAAGTGTGGGCAACTTCACATTGTATATATATTGACATATTCGATTCAAAATAGCAAAATTATATCTTTTAAATATATTTTATGTATATTTAACCCAGATATTCTGATAGAAAACATTGTAAGCTATCTATTTCAGTTAAAATCACAAAATAAATGTTTCATGCATATATAGTTAAAACCACACATGGTGTAAAATCAAGTGCGACTTCCGACTGATTTGGCGATAACGGGTCACATATTTCTTCTCCAATTCACCTCACACAGACACCTTACAAACAGTGCGTGTTATAATTGTGTGAATACCTCTCATTACCTCTCATTCTCATAAAGTCATTATTGAAATTGGCTCGTATTTGGAAAATGTATGACCATTTAAAACTAGCATTATGTACAAAATAATTAGAAATAGTGAAAAAATACATACTTGCTAGGGAAATTTCATAGTGGCTAAGTTTGGAGATAGTTGTAGAGGCATGCATGTTGATGTTATTACTATTGCATGGGTAATGTGAATAAGCGTAAATGCTCAGGTTGTGTCACACTTGGTTTAGAGTTACTTCTAAATTACCAACTGTCAGTCAGTATAAGGTTTGGATGATAGTCGTTTTTAAAACAAATTATGATGATGCCATGGTGTTGATTAGAATTATCATAGTAAATGTTGGCAATTATATTCAACAGAACTCGAGGGGCTGGGAAATCATCCACTAATGCCAGCCAGAGAGGCCATCCCCAGTTTGCCTGAAGCTGTCAACGACGCTCATATTAAGTCATTGGATGTAAATCAGGACTGAGAGATCAAGGTATTCGAGAGTATGTGAGCATTGCTTACACGGTGCTACTCCTGCTTTGAAAGAGATGGATGCTGCTACCCGCTGCTGCCTGCTGCTGCCACGACTATTACTACTAGAGCTGTGGATACTGCTGCTTCTGTTGCTAGTTATTGGTCATATTAATCGAAACAGCTGCGTACGTTGCTATTTATATTTAACTGTGTATTAATGTGTAGTCTTGAGCAGCAGCAATGTTTCTGATTACCTGTTTATAGTTTGTACTGAAGGCTTTCTAATATCGGTATAATTGGTGGCAGAAAGGTGGAAAGGTGGGTAGGTGGTGATTTTCCTGTCGAACAAATATTATCATAACTGTGAGATAGATACTGAAGTCTTGTAAATAATTGGGACCAACTTAATGTGGGTGGTTGCTGTGTTTTATTTTGTTCTTTATTGCTATAGAAAAAGACAGGCATTGTATTTCTGGAATTTCCAACTAACTAGGATCACCTTAATCTATGCTACTCATATAGATAATTATATGTATTAATCTATACTAAAAGCAATATGGCCGTGTATGTGCTTGGCTTGCACCTTTCTTCCCAAGCTTGCTGGCCCAATTACAACCAGACTTGGCAAGCGTACTCACTGGGTGCCTAACTTTCCTTGAGAAAGTACGCCATACTAGCATTAACATGGAGCCAACGTACTTTCAAACCTATAACTTGAGTAAAATAGGAAGCTGGCACAATCGCTTCGTATTTATTGGAAGTAAGTGACCCAGTAATACGGTTGTATCCAAAGGCGCACATCTTGATATGGTGTCTGTAGTATTACTTGTTATAACTTACTAAATATTTTAGCTGGTTTTCTCCTTTTCTACGTTTGGTCTAGATAAAATCTATAGGTGCGACTTAAACTGGGCTGATTTTGAACATTTTTTTCAGTTTTTGTTATATTTTAGACATTTATTAGACAGGAATATTTTGTCGTGATAGTTTATGATACGACTCGGGTTAATGCCTTTATAATGCAAGACTATGGTCTACTTGTTACATGTTAGGTATTTTTTCTGATTTGGGAGTGCTTAATGCTATCTCATATTTGGAATCACCTTGAACTCGTGATAACATGTCAAGTCATGAAAGTAACATGCCAACCTGCAATGAGATATGATTAAAAACTCCCATGGCGCTCTTAAAAAATAATATCAACATTTTCGCAATCAGTTTCAATTGTAATCACAAATAAAAGCTCATTAGTTTACACACACACACACACACACACACACTAGTTGCATTTCGTTGTGCTCGTGACGTCAGTGGTGTCATTGTATAATGAAACAAGCCAGAAAATGTCTCAGGGAAATTTATAGATTTGTTTAGCTGGTATTCTAATGGTGTAAACTGGAAATGTCATGGCGAAATCTCCATGTAAAATTTCCTACTCTGATTGCAAACGTCAGAGAGTTATGCATTGATATTCCGTGGTTTCCCTCCGGTGTAACATGTGTTCCGAAGTACGAGTCGATAGCAATAACTCTCAAATTGTTAAAAATATCTGTAAGCGAGAAAATGGCCTCCACCACATGTTCTACATATATCTATAAATATTATATATATAAACCTCTATATACATACATCTACTATCGTACGCATACATCGTATTTATAAGTGAGTGGCATAGAATTGCAAGCATGCAAAATTGATGAAAATCGTGTTGTGGTGATACAAGGAAAAACTGGATCGTGTGAAGAAAAAAATTAATTGCTAGTTTTCAATTCGTTACATTTCAGTCAGCAATCTCTTACGTCAAAAGTTACGCATGTGGGAATAAGTAAGTATTGATTATTTATCGCGTGACGTAACGAACATTCTGTGGGAGTGGTTACGTGATATAATTCTGTTGTTAATCTTGAAAATATTTTGTGTTCATGAGAATAAAGGTTGTCATTAAAAGTAATACTTGTATTTTTTTTATCAGAATAAAGTAAAAAAAGGTAGTAGTTACTTAATTATTGAGAGGGTGTCTTGGCTAATGATTTGGCACTGGTGAAGTTCCAATGTATTATTCGCATACAACTGAAAGAGTCGAAATTATGTTGAGCTTTCAGAGGAGGGTCACGTGGATTCTTTTGGGGAAGAGCAGTGTTTTGGGCCGGGCAATGTGATTGGCAAAATACAAGACAATGTACCAAGGCCGCAAAAACACTCACGTGTTTTTCTATCTATCTATCTGCCTGGCTATCTATCTGTGTATCTATCT